GTGGGTGTACATAATTTAAAGATGAATCAGGACATTAACTTTGCTACATAATTATGGTTCATTTTTAAGCTGCTGTTCAGTTTTCATTCTTTATCAGAGAAGAATGGAGTCAATAGTGTGCAGGTTTTCGGTCCTGCTCGGGTTCAGTATTTACGCCGATTGTGTTTAATGCAGCTTTTGGGCAGGGAAACAGCTTGAGAGCTGCTCAGTGCCTCAGGCTACCAGCTGCTTGCCTAATTGCCCTGGGAGCATAGTGGAAAGAAAGCTGAGACACCAAGGCAACTGGTTTCAATATTGTTCCCCACTGGAGGAAACTTGCTTATTGGTTTGAAGTGGCGTCCAGTGTCGTAGATGTACAGCAACCATTTGCTCAGGGATGGTGCTGTCAATACTAGCTGTCCCGTTCCTTCACATCAAGACAGTATGAATGAAGTTTGAATCCACATCTATTTCTTCTGTTGGGCAACACTTGAAGGCTGCTGAGCTAAAATTTATTTTAAGACTGAGCCTTTCCTCATCTGCGTGGGAGGTTTCACAAGGAAGCATGGCAGGCGCATAAGACATATTGAAGAGAGAGCCTAAATAATATCCATAGATACATACAGAAGGAAAATAGAGGACAAAGAACATAGTTTGGGGAAGTAGGGTGGTATGCTCTGAATTATTCTTTCAGATACTCAGTTAACTTGACTTTGACAGTCAGTGAGGCTCAAAATGTATCCATCAAGAGTGGTAAGTGCTAAGCTGTAGGGAAAGAAGAATTTCTGGTTTCGGTAGATTTTCTTGTTAAGAAATCCCAGGAGGTTCTTGTGCTTTTATGAAAAGTGTAAGGAATTTGAAATATTTGGTTTTGTTAACCTTTAAGTTGTTAAAATCCATATCACTCTATTTTGATTGGGAAGATAATATTTTGTATGCAGTTAACACTTGGATTTGACATAAATGCTAATAAACTTGTTTTATTTAAGACATTCATCTGTTTGAATGTGCAAGGAGTATAGACAGATAACTACTTATGACCACAGTGATTTGTTTCTATAATTATTTAAATATTGTTCAGCTGCTTTTTCAAATTTTTTTTATAGATACATATATGTCTAGTGCATTTTCACATGTGATTTTTTTTTTTTTAGTCGAGACCCTAACAAAATAGAGCTAAGCAATCAAACTTGGTCTGTCCATTTCTCTCCGAGTTGATAAACTGTTTTGACTTGAAAGGGCAGCAATCTTGAAGATAAATAATTTCAAATTTTTCCATAATCAGTGGTGGCCTACAGATCGAATGCTGCTATTAGTGCTTCTGCTGAAGGAGAAGACATAACTCGCCCATTATATGTTATTTTCTGGTAGCATCTGACTGGCAAAACAACTTGTTGCTAGCCATGGTATTTCCTGGAGTTTTGCTACAAGAGGATAGCTCAAGAAACATAAGTCATGGGAAGATGCTAGCAGTTACAGAAATGGGGTAAGGGAGGATTTCAAAGAACATGTAGACAAGTGGGTGGGAAACTAGCAACCACTTCTGCCGCCTGAAGACTTGCTGCAAATAATTAATCTGCTGGTAAATAACCAATGTAGCAGCCTTTATTATGCTGATCATATATGGTACTGCCTGCGTCCAAACTTTCCATGCAGCTGATGAAAGTTTGCACGTAGGACAACTGCAGATGACCGAACAGCATTTTTCCCAACTGTGTAATAATTATTCATTACATTGAACCTAAACAGGCAGTAATAAAAAATGAGACAGAATATTTCATGCCTTAAAATTATCAGATATTACTATGAAAAACTGCCTTGTATTCAATGTACCACTTGCTTAAATGCTGCTTAGCTTTTAAAATTGATATAATTAATTAGTATAAAACTTAGCGTGGACAGTCTTAACCCAGTTTAGACATTTGCCTCTTAATAATTTTGCCTAGATGTTTTTCTTACAAAACCAAGGTTAAATAGAATGCAATGAAAGCAATGAGACTGTAAGATATCATTTTGTCCACAGGTTCTCTGACAAGAAAGAAATGACCTGATTATTTTTTTTTAATTTATTTCAGTGAAAACAATCCAACCTTACATAGACAAGTTCTCATAATCAAAGTTAAATTTGCAAGGATGTCATCTAAGGAGATTTTTGCTAAACAAAATATACTTAATAAATACCTAGCATCTTTTTCCTCCCCATCTTCTGCATGTAAAAAGTCATTAAAGCACACATTACATTTCTACTGTAGTTCTAAAAACATATCAGGAATGTTCATTTTTCAACCATTACAGCTTTTACTTCCAGGATGATTTCAATTTTATAGAAGAGCAAATGAAGTAGCTAATCAAATGCTCATCAATTCCTGAAATTCTCTAACTCCTGATTAACATAGTTACCCAAAGACTAGTCGGAGTTGCATGTTACCATTACTGGACCTCTTCCCCCTCCCCCAGTAAATAAATAAATAAATAAATAATAAATAAACTGTGCCATTTAACAGTTAAACTGAATTTTCAAAGAATAAAAAAAAAAGCTTCCTCACTTCACAGGAAAAACTGCAAACTTCATGACTGGGGAAAACCACGCATTTTTATAAAACTTGCAGTTTTCCTTGGTGTGCTACTAATAGACTGTGATGAAATAGGCCATTAGGATGGCTGACCAGGTTAGACGCTTTCAGGTGCTTCATCTGCTTCTCACTAGCTTTAGCTTCCCTTGCACTTGAGCAGTTTCTATCCTGCACTTCATCCTTGCTGTTGGTTCTAACTATTACAGTTATTTGGAAGAGAATATTTGAAAGAATATTTCAGTTCTTCATCAGAAAGATTAGTTTTCATTTTAATTTGACATTTAAAGCCTACTTACTCTTTCATAATAGAACTGCGTGTACTTCACACTTGTGAAGGTTCTCCTCCTTGCAGAGGTTCTTGCTTTCCCCTCTCACCATACAAGTTGAAGGTGATTGTATGCAATAGCCTTTCTGCAAATTGCATCTAATCATAGGTCTTTTATATCTTATGCATAGCCTTTAAAGTGCACTTATCACATTAATTCTTGAGTCATCATGGTTTTAAATACCTCATTAGAGGAACACTTCTCATCACTCTTCTTGCAAATCACGTCTGTTTTTCACAAATGTTTACTCCTTAGATGTAAAAGGAGAAGCTTCCCTCCGCACCAGCCAGCCACATCAGCCCTAGAGTTCTGTGCAGTTACGATTCAAATCTAGCTGAGATCTACTACTCTGGTTTAGAAAGCACAAATTAAATTTATTTCATTTCAGCCTCTCTCGATGTTATTCAGTATCCATGTAGCCTTGGGCAGCCATGTGGTTAACTATGTCCCCTACCAAATGCTTCCTCTAGTCTGTTACTGGCAGGAAGGGGAGAGTTGCTGTTCCCTTTTTGTTGTAGCCATCTTCAGATGGATGCAACCTGAGTCTGTTGCCTCATCTCTTTCCAAAATAGGACGTTTGCCAGCAGTGATGGGAGAGGTAGCAAATGAGAAAGGAAGGAGCAAAAACTGTGACTGATGTAGTGGGGAGCAACAGATGTCCTGTGGAAAATTGAGATATACTCAATAAGCATTTTCTACAAACATTTTCATACTGATGTAACTTAGTTATGGGGTGTGAGATACGAGCATATGAGTGAGTTTAAGCTTTGAAGCATTTCAGACAGATGGAAGTTTGTGGTTGAAGACAATTTATGTAGAATTACAGGCTACTGGTGTTCACAGCTTAATGATTCTGCTTTAAAAGTGATTTTGTGTTATAATTAAAGAGATGGTGAAAGAGAATGGAAGGAGCTGGGTTACAGGAAGCAAGGGGACTAAAGGCAAAGAGCTGCCGCTGTTAAAAGCATGTCATCCAGAAAGAGCTATACCCTGTGTAAGAATATAATACAGAGAATCACATGCTACTCTTCTGGTACTGACTTCAGCTTGCACTATTGGCCAACGCAGATTCCTTTGAATACATTATTAAAGGTGATATCACAATAAATGAATCAGAAAAGATGCTTTGACATCTGTATTGCAAATTGTATTATATACTTATCTAGATCAGAACAAAGCTGTATCTGAATCAGCACAAAATATTTGATATGCAGCAGATACTGTGAAACTCACTCTGATGACATTATGGATATTCAGAAAAAAAAAAAAAAAAAAAAAAAAAAAAAAAAGCTGTGATACTGTGGGGTTTATTTTCCAAATAGACTTTTAGCACTTGAAGCAGAGTTCAATTACTCAGAGTATTGCCCTTTGTATAAAAGGAAAAATGGTTTATTTGCAATGTAGTCACCTTGCCAAAATATCTTGTTCATAGCTTGCTTTTCCATGTTTCTTTTTTTTTGATGTATGTGATATATTTCAGAACTCAGAGATTACTCTTCACCTTAATGTTAACTGTTTCGTAAGCACCACTTGCTCCTATTCTTGTCAAACTTGAAATTAATAAATTTAATTGAATTTTTGCAAATCCATTTATTGTAATGCTTTACACTTGGGGCTTGTGTCAATTGAAATTAAAAAACCAATGGTTTCATCTGAATTCCAGTGCCTCTACACAGTTAATTGACTAAATCTCTAGTGTTAGTATTTCTACTGTTTTCAGAAAATTCATATTCTCCAAATTGCTTGAGTTATTCCTTTTATTATAATTTTAAATAGATGTTTTATAGAAATTATTTGGGATATTTTAGCGATGTCACCATTTTGATAGCATTTTATAGACATTTTTCTTTAGAGACAATGACTTCCAGTACATTAGCATGAGTCATAGAATACAGTATGTGTTCCCTAAGTATATTGTTTTCTAGTCTTTGTGTTCTCTGTCAGACTAACCTTTTATCATTCATACATTTTATAGATTAAGTTTTGCTTCAGATACGTTAGAAATATGTATGACAGCAAATGTTTCCGTTATTGCTTTTCACCAGGTTATTTGCATGCTACGGTTTGAACTTCAAAATTGGTGACATTTCCATGTAAATTTTATATTTCTCATCCTTAACAGAAAGGGCTATTGCAAGACATGAAGTCAGAGAAATAGAACAACGTCATACAGTAGATGGCCCCCGACAAGATGTGACACTGGATGAAGAAGATGATGTGGTGATTATTTACAACAGAGTACCTAAGACTGCCAGCACATCCTTCACAAATATTGCCTATGATCTTTGTGCGAAGAACAAATATCATGTTCTACATATCAATACAACCAAAAATAATCCTGTTATGTCTCTGCAAGATCAGGTAAGCTGCTGCATTTGGGATGTATTTATTAAACAAGGGGAAAGTACAGAAGACTTATTTGCTATTGCAAACTTCTGTGGTCTGATGGAATTGGGTTTTATGTCACATCTTCCGATATAAATGAATTATAATGTGTTTATATTTTCTTTGTAGAGAATTAATATTCTTTGTTAAATAGGTTTAGGTTTTTGCTGTGCTACTGGAGGTGGTAAGTATCTGTTTATTGAACAAAAACAAAGCTAAAAAGGGACACAGCTAGGGCAGAAATGACCTTTGTTGTTACAACTGTAAAAGTTTATGGTATTGTCAACTGTCTGCCTTTTGGCTGTGTAATAATATTTGTCTGTCCATCTGCAGTGCATGCAGTCTTATGTGCTTTCCTCTCTGACTAGTGCAGGCGCTGTGCCATGCTGTCAGGGCTGTACTTCTGTCTTTGGTACTAGGTCTGGTCAGATCTCATAGGTGATAAAAACCAGTAGAAAGAAGTGGTTGTAAATAGCCTGCACTCTAAAGGAACTTTGCATCCACTTAAATCTGTCACTAAAATCGGTGTAGTCCCAGGCTAGAAATGAACATAACTACAACTGCATCACATGATGAGTATTAAAAAAAAAAAAGATGAAGGATCAATGCTCTATTTTTCTTGGTGTGGGGTGTGGTGAGGGAGTAGAATTTTTGTTTTAATTTTTAAAATAGTATTTCTTTGCTTGTCATGAGTGCACGTGCAGGGAATCCAGGTCAGAAGTCTGAAACATCACTATGTCATCATCCCTGTCTGTGAAACAAATATTTCCAAACTCCGGGCTTTGTACTACCAGTTATATGCTGATTATCTTAAGTTAATATGCAGCAGAGGCAGGAACTGTTCTGCATTGCAGCGTGTCAGCACTGAGGCTTCCAGTTCCTTGAAGTGCATGCCTGCAGGCAGAAGCAGCTCAGCACAGCTGCTGGGGTGGGATGAGGGGAAGCAGATCGTAAGGGCCCTCCACTTCCCTTTCTGTATGTGGGAGAAAGATGGAGGTAGGGATCTCAGTGCAGGGAACATAGAGTGTACTTGAGGTGGGACTGGGAACCTGTTTTGTGATAATGGGGTTGTGTTACTGTTGGGGTTTTGCTGTTGTGAAATCTTTTCCTAAATATGAAGGTGATATTGTCATACACAATTACTGAGATTACTAAATCTGGTAGCCATCCCTATGATCTTGCATAGAACAAGTACTACAGACCTATGTACCAACAGCAGAGTGATTTTTTCAAAAGGTTTAACAAGCCTATATATGTTAATTAAAAATCATGCTCAAGTCAGTCATACTTAGTGCTGCACTTCCAACCACAGATTCTGTTTCTGTCAAGGTGTCTCTTTGAATTGTAGTGATCTGTCCTGAAGGATAGCAGAGCTAGTCATTGATAAATTAAACATAGGCAACCTTGCCTTACATTTCTACTTTGTTTGGATTTCATTCAAATCAAATTTGTTCTTTACTGGCTTAGTTTTGTCTAGGAGAAACTCTCCTCCTCATCTTCCCTCTAATAATTACCTATTGAAAAATGAAAATCCGTTAATGCTGGGCATGTATGCAATACTGGCAGTCCTACTTTCATTTGACACTATGCTATTGTCCAAGGTGGTAAATTATGCTGTTTAATTACACAATTGATACTCCTTCAGTGGCCCTTAACTGGGAAATGCTGACAATGAAAAACTTTATATATTGCATAGTTGTTCAAAGAAAAAGAAATAATTATTTATCTCTAGTATATTGAGATAGCAACCTGCCATTGCAAGTCATAACACAGAATTCTGGAGATGGCAGGGGTGCTGAGTAGTAGCTGATGTAGGTTTACTCTTTGTGGGTTTGGATTTGCATTAAATATTCACATGCCACCTTCATCAGTATAGCTCACTTCAGTGCATTAGGTGTATATGCACCAGTAGTAAAATACATAAACATAGAGACAAAATTGTTTTATCAGTGATACTGTTTATGACACTAAATCTCCCTAAGCAAGGTGAAGATTGTCTTGGGCCTGACATAAATTTGTAAAATAGTGAACCCTTCGTTATGCACTACTTCTGCTGAACATTTCCCAAACTAATTCTGTAACAGATTTTGAGTTCTCTGCCCATATGTGAAACCTTTACTTCTTGAATGCAGTCTGAAAAAAAGCCCTATTTCCCTATTTAAAATCCACTCCAAATATAATCTGTATCTGATTTGAGATAATCCGATAAGAGTCCCTAACACATCCATTTTAGTTTCAGATAGAACTTGTCCCAGCAGCCCTCCTTTCTTTTGGAGTTTCTCTGACAGCAGGATCCTGGGAACTGCCCCTTTCCACAGGTTGGGCCTTTTCTTTGCAGCAAGCTGAGTGCCATGTTGCCCATGTTGCATTTCTGACCTGTGTGGTCTGTAACAAAAACACTTGCTTTCATTAAATCAGAGTAGTTGTTTGGCTGGATTTTATTTGTTGCTTGCATGTTTCAGTGCTGATACCTTTTGTCCCTACAAGTATGCTTTTGTTATGGCTAGTTGGGTGGCATCCCAGCCACACAAACTTTAGCTTTTTGGTTACATGGTGAATTTGTCATCTAAAACATTTAAAACAAAATTACTGTTCTGTTTTGCAGCATGTATTCTTGATATATTATTAGAAAAGGGGGTATGCGAACATGTTCTCTGTGCTGCTGTTGTGAACATAGAAAAGCCATGGTACAATTAGCCAGCATTTCACTCCCTCGGCTTGCTGTTTTCTGTTCCTTGTTCTTTTTTCTCCTGCAGTTTCTCTCCATTTTTCTCAAAAGAGCAACCTGAAAATATATAATCTTGCTTCCAAATGTATTCTAAAACACTGGCCTCTCAGAGGACAGCATACTCATACTGACTTTAGTAGTACTTACTTCCTCTGGTGGTGAAGGTCTCAATGGCTGTCACAAATGGAACGAGTAAAAGTTCGCAGCGGCTCTGTTAGAAGTGGAAGTACTGTCATGTGCTCCTGAACACTTAAGAATTTTTCTCTTGGAGTTAGATGGCCTAGTGAGTACTAGTGTCCAGTGCTGTACATGTGCCAATTGTATTTTTCCTTCTGAGAAAGAGCTGCTCACGCGAGGTGGGTATCGTGGCCGTACCGCGGCTGAACTGGTGAACTCTCTTTTCACCATCTCAAAATTGCTTCCCGTCTGCCCTTGCCGAGAGCTTGCTTGTGGTTTCTCATGGCATGCAGCCAAAGGTGTGTTGTGGGTCTGTGTCCAGCGTTCCTGACCCTCTGATTTAGATCTAACTATAAGTTATTAGCTTGTATGACAGCTTGGATAGCTCTGCTACCGGTGCCTTTCTGCAGAGGGATTCAGATTCAGTATCCCATCAGGCTTGGTCTTTAAATCTGAATCTCAGATTTCCGACACTGTGTCAGTTTTCAGTCTTACTTGAGAGCTCTTTTTTTGAAGCTCAGATGGAAAATCCACATGTGTCCTCACCCGGCTAGGCTTGTGATATTCATCCCCCCAGTTATTTGTAATTTTAAGTCAGTTATTTAGCTATTGACAAAAAAACCTAGAATATAATGACATGAAAAGCTTCAGCTTTTTTGGTATCCAAAAGTCCATGTGATACCAGGCCACAGGGTAATGACCGTACCACCTTTGGGGGGCAGAGGGTGCGTATGTGTGTGTTCAGGCTGTAGAGAAGAGGCATTGATGGAAGCTGTTAGTGGACAGAGGTGACAGTTTACAACGGTACTTTGGTTTGCATGCACAGATTTCCTAGGGCTTTTTGCTCGGACCAAGTATGCTGGTTTGGGGGATTTTTTTCCTTTGACTCACTGGGACTTGTTTTAAATTCTTATCGTTCTAGAAACTGAATGTATTTAACTTACCTTTCAGGACATCTTACGCCCCCAGAGTACGTTTGATCTGGCTTTTTAATTCAGTGAAGCTCAGCTGATTTCTCACTTACTAAAGGCTGTGAAGCAACTTTGTAGCTGATTATATAAAAGCACCATGAACCAACTTCACAGGAATTCCATTCACGTCTATCTGAACTTTTAAAGTAACCTCAAATTTTATTCAGTTGGGTTCAGATGGAGAAGCTTGCTTGGTCTCTTAAAAGCTCCAGTATCTGCTAAGCCCTGAAAAGAAAGGTAAAATTGATCATATTTAACAGTACGAAGCAGCAAGAAATATTCATCTCTGCCCTAAACCGTGTGAATCCAGGCTCATTAGGCTGTATGTGACCTGGAACAATTCTGATTTTTGGAATGCTGCAAACTGTGGGGGGAAAAAATGATCTCTTGCCTGCAGGCTAGTTATAGGTGTTAAAAACTTGAATTGTCAGGGGCACAGCGTGTTGCTGGTCTGTCTTAAGGCAGATGTAAATGTCACAGCTGTCTTATAAAACCTTCCTAGCCTTCTCTTAGCTTGCCTGATGTTAATGTTAATAAAAGGCTAGAACATCCATCCTATGTTCATAAAAATTATTTCATCTTATGTTCATAAAAATTATTAGCAGACAACGACATAGTAAGACAAAGACAATAAAGGATTTTTTTTAACTATTACTGGAACATCTAAGGTTTGATGCCAGGTGGTGGCATAGGGATCTAAGACAAAACTGAACCTTGAGATTTTGCACTTAACACTTCCCTGTGTCTAGTCCTAGTCTATTAGGAGTATGAAAGCTTGTTCACGGAAACATAACTGAAATGTACGCTTTAATATGCATGCTGCACTACACACAATAGGTAGCATAACTGGTTTACTTGTGGAGTTGTATCAACCAACCGTGACATTTTGAGGTTTGGGGGTGAGGGAAGGGAGGATAATGTATACTTTGCATTTAGGAAATTTTCATAGCTGAGGCTCTCCACTGAAAATATCTTGTCATTAATCTTTGAGAGGTACAGTCAATGAAAGTGTGGTTTGTTTCAGTAGCAGTAAAAATAGTTCAGCTGGATTCAAAGCCTCATAGATATATTATTAGGTTGTTTTGTGGACAAAACCAGGCAGAAAGCCAATGCAGTTTATGAAACACCATTGTACAACATTGTGCAGTGCTTTTCAACTAGATTTGCCACAATTTTCATGTGGAATATATGGTTAAAATTGTGAAATGGCACAGACTGAAACTTGTACACTGAAAAAATGAATGCTGCCTGTTATTAAAAAGTAATACCCATTTCTTTTACCTAGGCATCCAAGAGCTAGTGTTTGAAGAAATAAGTAAAGGTTATCAATCTCTTAAATCCTAGACTGCAAGTTTTGCAAATTTGAAGAAACAGCAGCAGGCCAGTCTTGCCTCTTAAAATCCTCCATTGGTTGGTTATAATAAATAGCATGTTTCAGGACACTCGCAATCCATTACACCTTACAGAATATTAGTGTGTTGTCTTGAGCTCTCAAACTTTCCTTTTTTGACTGTCTTGTCTCACTCAGACCTCAGTATCTTTGTGGTTATCTATGTCACTGTATAACAGAAAAGATACTGTAGATGTGCAGGGAATGCTGTCTTGTAATTCACAGCTTGAGAAATGGCATATCATTGTCAGACAGCTCGGGCAGTACAAATTTATCATCTTTTCTTTATTATCCAATTCACTAGTTTTGACATAACTTTCAGAGTTAAATGCTTTGATGTTAAAATATTCTGTTCATCTAATAATGCCAAGCTATATCAGGATTTGCATGTCCCACTTAATTTGATCCTACTTTCTGGTTTGGGGCGTGTATCTTATTTTGGTTTTATCTTTGAAATGTAAAGCTATTCCTATTTTTGTGAAATTGGCTGATAAAACAGTTATCAGCCCTTGTTTTAAGGGCTACTTCATGCTTTAACATGGAAGTTTCACTGAAATGTTAGGCTTAAGGTAATTATTCAAAATGGTAAGCTATATATCTAATTTACACTACATACATTTTATAAAATTTCTGGGTTACTCATGCATTGCATTTTAGGATGGGAGGAGCAAATGAACCATCAGATTTGTTTCTTATGTCCAGGTAAAACAGGTCTAAACATGCTTGTAAATCTGATACGCTTTTATTTGAGGTATTAAATACAGATCAGACAATTCCATCAAATTGTACTTGAATTTCTACTTATTGCTGAGGGAATTCTGCATTCCTTTCAAATTACAAATAAAATGAATGGACAAAAATTTAGATGTTTGTCTTGCGCATGATTTTGTGGTAGCTTTCCTTGAATTGCCCTTCTGATTGCTGTATTCTGCTTTTGTTAAGTTTCTGATCGTTAAATTGTGATGATCTAAAATAAGTCATCTGTATGCTTGCAGAGAAGTCTATTTTAGCTGGCACAAATTCTTTGGTAATATTCAAAATAGACTTTTTTTCTAATACATTATAAGATTTTACTTACAAACCAGAAAACAGCATGTATGGGGAAACTTAATCTGTGCCAGCCGGACAGAAACACTTTCTGCTGTCTACTTTTACAGGTCCGATTTGTGAAGAATGTGACTTCCTGGAAGGAAATGAAACCAGGATTTTACCATGGACATATATCTTATTTGGACTTTGCAAAGTATGTTACCCTTGGATTTATCTGTTGAGTAGCATGGTAGTTCAGTTGCTTGGATCCAGCTGGGATATTAGTGCCCTCTAGTGAAAAAAGTCTGACAACTGCCGTTTTGAAAAATTCGCACACTGAAATTCCTATAATGGGCAATATTAGGTTTTGATATTTCACAGCTTTCTCTTGTCTTTTTGCATGATAAAAGGTAGCCAGCTCTCATTTCAAAACTGTTTATGTGCTAAGTTTAGTACTCCTTGTCTGAATTTTACAAGCTTGTTTTACTGAAACTCTTGGCTGTTCTCAGGACCACTGGCAGTTCTGCCTTAGGATTGGCTTCCCGTTCTGTGACGTTTAAGATACATCTTCTCAAATATGTTTCATATAATAAGTAATACCATCTGCCTCTTAAATTATGTAGTTCTTCTCCCTTTAAAATATAACTTTTAATATTTTGATAAATGTAAAGCAGTTTTCTGGCCTGTAGTAATTTGACTTGCTGTAAAAAGCATTGAAATAATTCTTGCGGAGTTAAATCTTGCTACTTCTAAAACTAATTTAAAAGAAAATGAAGTAAAAATCCTCCCAGTGACTTCAAAGGTTCAGGATCATATCTGTATTCCTGCTTCCATGTGTTTCTTTTCTTCTCTTACTTTTGCTTCTGGATCTAAAGCAGTGATCCTCAGTAACTCAGTCTTGTGAAACCTCCCCTTGAACTGGCAAGTCAGTTTTGCTTAAGGTGTTTGCTAAGCAGTGCTTCAGCTTGCACTTGCAGCGTGGGAAAATGGTTTAAAATTGAAAGAGGAATTTTCAGATCTCAGCATATTCAACTGCACAAACAATAGTAACCACTATTTTTATCTCTTGCTGATAGTCAGTCCTTAGTAATGTTATGTTTCTGTATTAAAACATTTAATGAAATTAAGTTCTTGTATGTAAGAATTTTTTTTGTTTAGTCATTGTTTTTAATTATTCGCTTTATGTACACTGATTTTTAATTTAGCTTTTTATTACAAAGAATGAGAAGGGGAAGTGAGAGCTTCATAGCTTCCCAGTACAGTGTATTATATAATAGAAAACGCTAAAAGCTACGGTAGCAGTTGGAAACTACCAGTGTCACCAAGTAAAAGCTTGACGTTTACAAAAAGTAATAGGCAAGAAGTCTTAACTGCAATTTAATCAATAAAATAAAATGTATCAAATTTCATTCACTTCCTTTCTGCCTTTTTAAAGTTCAAATGCTGCAACATTAATAAACCCTTGAACTGAGTAACAGCTTTCTGGAACAGCAAAGGTGAATGTTACTTTATACATTACTTCATAAAGCTGAAAACTTTTTCAGATACTGGAACTTTAAAAAGTAATTATTTTGCATCTAGAAAGCATATAAGCAATTTCACAGATTTCTTTCATCTGCATCTTCCCTCCAGGACTGTGTTATCCTTGTGTTTGTGGTTTGTTATCCTTTCACCTAAACGATTTATTTTTTTCCCACAACAGCTTGCTTTCTCATACTTTAGGTTTTCATTATTAAAATAATATCTTGAATACTCTGGTTGTGCTTGCCAAGGCCCACACTTTTAAGGCTGTGAGGTATGTTCTTGTAGTGAACATTCTTGTAGTTGCGAAGTGTAAAATATTTCAGAAAACTCTATGCCTGCTTATACGCAGACATCAGACTTAGGTCCACTGTCAAGTATCAGAAGTACCTCTTAAATTATGCTGAAGCCTGAAGTACTGGATTCAATGACTAACAGTATTGAGGACAGGTTGTCATAATCTATCCATGTAGAAATTACAGTAGTAAAAGTTTAATTTTTTTTTCCTCTTTTTAATTTATGATCCACCCTTATTCCCTGGTAAATGGTTGGAAAAAAGTTCTTTGACAATGCGATTGCCAAATCATTATCATTATTAATAAAGTTACCATAGTAACTGGCTTACGTTATCATAACTGAAGCTAGTTTTGCGAGGTCGTGTGCAAATCCATATGAATGTACAATCCAGCGCAAATGTTTCCAAGGGCTTGGACACCATGATTTAACCCACAGATACATATTACTGGCTGAGGCTGCTGCTATATCAAAATGCTTTGTTGCAGCCTTCTACAGCATTTGCAGTAGAGTCTGTAGAAGGAGACACACGTGCACATCTCAGGCACTTCAGCGCAACTTAAAGAGAGTGCAGTCCAAAGTCTGGACTTTGCATGAAAGTGGTTAAAACATTCACATGCTCTTATTTTGTGGACTTTGGGGAGTAAGAGCTGGCATACAGACAGATGTCAGCAATGCTGCCTTTAACTGCCACCGTCTGATTCATTGGTACTCTGCTGGCAACATCTGAAGAATCAATTGGTCTTCCTGTAGCCTTTAACAATTTCTGTATCTGTAGCAGTGGTCTTTTGCAAAGTAATGCCTTTTAATTGTTTCTAACTTCCTCTTTGCTGCTGCTTATTCTATGTTTCTGTTCTTCAGCTTTTCAATTTAAGATTCCTCATATAAGCAGTATCTGGTATTATAACTTACAGAGTACCACTTTAACAATAATGGTACTGCATCTTAAAACTACGAGCGCTCTCTGTATTAGCCAAGTTAGGAGGATTGAATGGCCCTCTGTCAATGTGGAACACTTTCCAAGTTTGCATGGGAACAGAAGAGAATTTTTTTTTTCCAGCTCCTAGCTTTACTTCAGGGCACTTGACACACTTGCAATTTCCATTGTGATATAACCTCTTCAGTAGTTGGATACCATATTTATTTGCCACAGTAATGTCTCAAATGGAAAAGAAAATAAAACTGAGAAATGTATTGTAAAAGCTGTCTAGAATGTAGATCATTAAAGGGTAGCATTTGCACAAAACAGTTTTGGTGGTTTAAATCTTTCTCGTGTGTCCCATGAGCTTACCACGTCATTTCATCAAGCTTCCTGTTTGTACCACAGTAAATCAAAATTTGCTTAGGGTAAATGTCTAAGGAAAAAATTTATATCTTTAGGTAAAGAAGTTAATATGGTTACAGATACTATCTTAGGCTTATATTTAATAAGCATAGCCATATGGATCCAACCCAGGTAATGGATAGGCTCTGAGCGCTGTCTTCCTTCTGTAGGAGTTCATGTCTCTGACAACTGGAGACCTGCCAGGAAAACCACTTGCAACATTGAATAGCACAGTTCAGGAGGGCAGGAACTCAGTACCAAACTTCCTTGTACTTATTACTAACACATATGTGGCTGCTAGACTAACTAAGGCATTTCTAGAGTCTGGATGGTTGTGTTAACATTTTTAGTATCTATTGTGTGAGAATATTTTGGGTTAATTTGTTTCTCTAGTAAAAAACCCTAAAATCAGAATCCTGGGAAAACTGAATTTGAACTGACTTTCACATCCACGTAACACATTGGATATGGGGATGGGAGGAAGTGATCATTAAACTTCCCCTCACCATCGTCTTCCCTGTATATAGATTTCAGTTGTATCAATAGAAACAAACTTTGAGGTATTAGATGAGAAGCTTTGATTTGGCCTTTAAAAGACATTTTTTCCTCTTTTACTTCAGATTTGGTGTTAAAAAGAAACCAATTTACATAAATGTCATAAGAGATCCTATAGAACGACTAGTTTCTTATTATTACTTTCTGCGCTTTGGAGATGATTACAGACCAGGGCTACGGAGGCGAAAACAGGGGGATAAAAAGGTAAAGTACACTTTCTTATATATGTTGTTCTTACTAAAGTTAATGTGAAAACAACTTAAAAAAATGTCCTGATAGAGGCTGAATAGTTCTTGTATCAGCATTGGTGATGATGGTGGCTTTGTAAGTTCTATTCTCCCTTTCTCATCCATACTGGACCAGAATGTAACATTAATTATGTTCTTTGTAACCTTATAAATTCACTTTATGGTGCAATTTGTTAAAAAAATCAAATGAAGTTTAAAAAAATGTTTTCAGATATCCAGAGTCCTAAGTATCAAGTTAAGCTTATTCTCCTGTGTAAGAAATCTACATTTCTTCTTGTTGAAGACTGAGAGATACATCTTTCACCAAAAGCTGTAGAACTGTTGATGCTTTGGTTTGATATTTGATTTTTATAATTAGCAACCCAATTTATTTTTTTTAAATGTAAGTATTACAATGGAGTTGTATAAAGAGTCTGCATGAAAACTACGGAGTATAAATCATACATTTCTATACCTCCTCCATCTGTCTTAGGTGTCTGTAGGAGTAGTTCAGGTTAGCATATTCAAACCTCGATGACTAATTGAGTTTCAGAATGGCAACATCATTTAGGCTCCGTTATATATTTATTCTGGAAATAATTTATACATCTGCTGTCATGGTTCGCAGTAAGACATTTATTTGTTGGAGCATGTTGCTTTGGACTTTTCTTAAATCAGGAAGAAAAATAGGGTATTAAGTATATTCATATAGTTTATAAAACTATAGTTAGAACAGTGTGGAAGCTTTTATAAAATGTAAGGGGGTTTTGTACTTTACAGAGCCAAACACTTTTTAAAATTTCAGTAGCAATAGTTTCTCAAACTGATGAAATTTTTCTGTAATGTCGACAATTTAGTGTAGCACCATGTGAATACTGAGAGGCATTGAAAAATTAACTAAACAAAAGTCACACTGAATACAGCTTAGTCTATAAACACTACAACAACTAATAAACATGACTAATCATTTTGTATGACCCTTGCCATGCCATCCAAATAGTGTTTTTTAACTATTGGGAAGAGACCGATCCGCTTTTCCACTTGATAACTAACTGCTCCTCTGTTATTTAGGTTTTGGCGCCATCTTCAGCTACTGCATTTCAGTTTGTCCAGGCATCCTACAGCATAGGCAGAGGAAAGCTTCAAGCAGAACAGTAACTGAAATTATGCTTTAAAAAAATGTGTCTTCATAAACTGACTGCAGAGATGATTTGGTGTTATGGTATCATAAAGGCATTTTTAAAAAGGGAGACAGGATCTCATACTTTGTAACCTTTTCACGAGGCGCGCAATTTGGCCAGTGGAATTCCTTTGTGGTAAAGATGAATGAGGTGGAAAGTTCAGTGTGTTACGTAGTTCAAGCTGTTTATAGGACTTAATATTTATTAAAAAGACTGAAATTTAAAAGTTTTAGCTTATTTTTGAATTATAATCCGAACAGACTTGTTAGGTAGTCACTGGAAAATGTTAAGCCAAAATCCCAAATGCTACTGCTTGGTAGACTGCACTTTTAAGTTCTGATTTGCGGAAGATGTTGAAATGCATTCCTTTTCATAATGTTTGTAATGCATTACAGTAATAATCTTATGTTTTTTCTGTTTACGATGCTTTTTTTCATATTGTCACTAACATACCACTTTATTTAGGTCTGAGACTTGTTGCAATATAGATTTAACTTGTCCTGTAAGCATCTCTAGTTCATTTGAAGTGAAATTGATTTGATATGCCAAGTTTTAGGGTTTCTTTCATTTATATCAGGTGATGCTATTTTTCCATGGTGTTTCCAAGAGAACTGTACATATTTAGAAGGTGTCAGTTTTAAATACATTTGATATAAAATTCAGTAATCTCAACGATAGATTGACCCAATTGCAGCGTCTATAACACTGATATCTGTGCTAATCTGTGTTATAGTAGGTTCACTAAGAGCTCTTCAAATGAAAAGTAGGGAAGGTCAAAAACGCAATCTTTCTAATGGAAGTCAATTGTGCCTTTATTAAATGGAAAGGAATCTCAACATACTTTACACCCTTGCCCCCTCCCAGTCCATACTACAGCATTTCTATGGAAGAGTTCTTCGTTAATTTTCTTTCTATATCCCTGTGCTTCCAAAGTTATGGATAGCTTGGCTCCAAGAACAGAATCTGTAAAGACAAGTGTTTCTTATAATGAAATCTCTGGATGGAGTAGTCAAGGTAAGTATATAAGAGGAAATGGGGAAGGAAGCCTGTCCTATTTCGTCTTAGAAAATTACTTGCTTGCTCTTGCATATTAACTATAAAATAACCTGCAGGTAAAAGCAAAGAAGTCTTTCTTTTGACAGATGCCAGTTCATATTTAGTATACACATTCATAAATTAGGAGGTGCATTTAAACAATTTAGTTCTTTAGGTAATGCTGATGTTATAAAGTACTCGTTAAGATCAGCGCAGAATTTCTGTAGAGAACTATGCTAGAGAAAGCATACCAGTGTCTGTCTTAGTTAAGCTGCATTTTTATCTGTCATATGTGACATACATGAGCTATTCCAAACTCAAAGTGCAATGTGGACCAAGACACAACAGGTTAATCCCTGCTTTGACCTGATATCAGTAAGTTTTTCAGATTATCTCAGGAACTTCACCTCAAAATAGAAGCCAAGGATGTTGTCCTTGTTCTAACACAAAATAATTAAACATTTTACATAGTTTTGAACAGGAACTTGTGATTATACAGAAGAAACAGTCTAAAAAGTTCTCTGTGCAATCACTTATTTGTTACTAAATATTTTTTTAAAAAATCCATCCTAGATACATGGCTTATATCTTGATTAGAAGTGTCATAAATACTTACTTTATGGTGAGTGGGTAAAATATTTACAAATTCTTTCCAATGCTAATGGAATTCTTATTGTAACTGTGTTACTGCAATTGAAACTCTCTGTTGCTACAGCTTTCTATCGATGTAGAGCGATGTTGTATGGATGGAGTATTCTGTTATGCAGGGAACAACTTGCTTTCACATCTTCTGATTGCCAAAAATAAATTAGCCTCTGAAATTGCAGTTGTCACAATATTTAAAATGTAATAGAATATTGTTTAAAGTAAAACACAAAATGCAGTGTTCTATTGTATAAAGATCCAGCTGTTTCAATATCCACAAATCCTGGTGGCATTTGACGCTGTATCTTTAGTGACTTCTTTTGTAAGGCAAGAATAATGATACTAACACTTACTGACTAGTTTTGCTTGGTTTGACGTAAAGCCTTTATCAAAGATATCTCAAAGGTATATCAAATGTATTGGGTAAGATCAAATTGTTCATTGGTTCTAATCATAAAAGACTGTCCAAGTACTGTTTTAATTGAGACAAATAGGTACTCCTAGTAACACTGTGAAAGCAAGTCTTGCAAAAAATACTTTTTTTCTTTCACATGATACCCTGTGTTTTTCTGTCCCTGCTACATTTAGCCACTAACCAGGTTGAGATGTTCAATATGTATACTAGATCTTAAAGTTCAGCTCAATTTTGTCTTTGTTCCAGACATTTGATGAATGTGTGGCAGCTGGAGGTTCAGACTGTGCTCCAGAGAAACTTTGGCTTCAAATTCCGTTCTTCTGTGGCCACAGCTCCGAATGCTGGTAGGGAGATAAATGTAGCTTAGGTTGTTAGTCAAGTATATCAGTGATGAAATCTAACTGAACAAATTTGAATATGTAGCACAGTTGGGGAAAGTGTGAGGGACTGGACAGAGTGAAGTAGCCGGTACTTTAGTAATGTATTTTCTTTTGAAGATGCATTTTACTGAAACAGTCTTGTAGTTCTTCAAACAAGCAATATGTTTGGATTCTGTGTCAGCAGTGCTATGAGGGGAAAACAGATGTTTTCAATTTGAAAAATATTTTTTGTAGATTTGGAGTCTCAACATTTTTCTCTTATGTCAGGCTACAATATCTGTCTTTCTGAATGGAGATATTTTGTTCAAGCTCCTAGAGTTTCTGTGGAGAGTAAAATAATTGAGATCAGGATAAATTTATCTTCTTAAACCTTTATCAGATATCCAGTAGTCAATGCTACTTAGTAGAAACTTAAACATAAGTAAACGGCGTCCATCTGTCAATGCAGCATGTTTTACAACAATGGCACAGACTTTAAAAACTCTTTAGCAAACAAAAAAAAAGGGAAGGGAGACACGACAGATTATTTGAAGGATTCGGAATGAAATCAAGGGCAATTATTTGTCAAAGGTACTGTTCATCCAAACCTAAGCAAAGTAAGTGGCCACATGGGAGCTCCTCTTTCAGTGGCTGTTGATCAGACCTATCTACATGTGGGCTAGATGGAGAAGGAGAGAAAGAAAGAACTCTGAACCTATCTGAAGCTGTCAAACTATCTAACTTTAAACCCTGTCTAAAACTATAAAAAGGAGGAAAAAAAAGTCAGTTTAATTTCTGTCATTCAGTATAGAAGTCCTCCCATTAAGCAGAATGACTTTCTAGTTCAGAATTGTGTTTGTAGGATGCAAAAGGGAAGGTGCGTTCTTTCCAGAACCATATCTGGTATGTAATGTGAAAGTGGAGACTGAGTATTGACATTGAGAAAATGTAAATCCTCCAAAAATTACGTTGCTAGAGACAGGAACCATATACACGCATGTTTTGTTGTAGATGAGTTATTAGTCAAAATAACTGGAGGAGTCAAATTTTTAGATAAGAACACAGATGAGAGAAACTGGAAAGGGAAATGAAGTTAGGAATAGTTATAACTTGAAATAAGTCTTGCCTTTCCTATACAAATGGCCTGTTATGAAGTAATCTCCATCTAGGGACCAAGGATTGTTGGCTGACATCAGAACTTACTGTAATTGTTCTCTGTCATTCTAGGAATGTGGGAAGCAGATGGGCTTTGGAACAAGCCAAATACAATCTGATTAATGAATACTTCCTAGTGGGAGTTACTGAAGAGCTTGAAGACTTTATCATGTTATTGGAGGCAGCTTTGCCCCGGTTCTTCAGGGGTGCCACAGAACTGTACCGTACAGGTATTTAAATGGTTGATTTCCATGGGTTCCATGGATTTTTCATCATCTTATCACTTTTTTTTTAATGTGAATTCTTTAGACCTAGATGAACAGTTTTGAGTCTCTGCCAGGTTTGCTTCTCAGTTGGCTGATGTTCCTACAGAAGAGACAAACTCTTTAAAAAACTCTCAGTACAATTTTTTGAGGGCAGCCCAAGTAACTTTGTGTACTGCCTTACACAAATTATAAATATTTAAGGTTGGGGTAGTGATGACAGATGTTTATCAGAACATTTTTGAAAGGTCTTGCAGGGGCAGATTTCCATTTCCTCAGAAACCTTGCTGATGAAATTAACTGTGCTTGATGCAACCTGCCTGGCTGTGCAAAAAGGCCCAAGGGATACAAAGGTCCAAGTACATCTTTATCTTCCTGAGGACGTAGTAAGACTTTTGTTATATAGCTAGTAGCTCCGTTTCTAAGAGCTGGCTATGCAACTTCTGATGAAGGAAAGGTCCATCTTAACAGGGTTTCTGTCTGCAAATAGAGGGAGAAAAGGGTCTGATGCATAGAGCCTAAATGTGTGGTATTAACAAGTTTATTGTAAAGCAACAGATAGCAATTCTTAGGGAAAATGCTGTCATCGTTCTGGTCAACTTTGTCCTGTGAAAGAAGTCTTGCTCTGCAGTTTGTAAAATTTTTAACATTTGATACCAGATTAACATTTAAATAATTAATTTGGAAAGACCAATCTTGCTCCAAGTACATTATGTGGAGTAATCTTGTTCCTTAAATGAAGTGTTCATTCCTTGGGTTTATTAGAGTAAGGAGAAAGAATTGAAAGAACTGATGCAAAATTCATTAACATTTAGTGAGGGAGACTGCAATTTTCCAACCCTGCATGTTATGTTAATAAATTCTGGATTAAATTCTGTCACTTTTAATGCAGTTTATCAACATGCTGAGAGTATAAAACTCTATAAATAAAGGACCGTAAACATTGTTTAATCATGTGAACTTTAAAGTGAAGTTATTGCTTTCATTTTGCATTTAGGAAAGAAGTCTCATCTTAGGAAAACAACTGAGAAAAAACTTCCCACAAAAGAAACTATTGCCAAGCTACAACAGTCTGAAATCTGGAAAATGGAGAATGAGTTCTATGAATTTGCACTGGAGCAATTTCAGTTTGTCAGAGCACATGCAGTTCGGGAAAAAGATGGAGAATTGTATATTCTGGCTCAAAACTTTTTCTATGAAAAGATTTACCCTAAATCAAACTAAGAACACTATACTGTTAGATCTATGGACCTATATCTTTGGTCACATCGTCATCTTAGTCCTCAGCCATGGAAACTAGATTGCTTGTAGACCTCCAAGACATTTCTTTATAGATCTGAGAAAAGTGGGCTGTGGATCACCTCCAGAGTGTTGGATACTGGCTAACTGTGGTGGTAATCCAGAAGCAAAGGCTTCATTTCTTTTATCTAACTAATACTTTCAGTGGGACTTAATATCCTTTACCTGAAGAAATCTACACTTTAATTCAGAGCAATTAATACACAGCAGTTCTAGTTGAAAATATAAACAAACAAAAAATGCTTCTGTTGATGCTCTTTTTAATTTTCAGAGCAATTTATTTTCATTTATACTTCTGTGAAGAGGAAATAATTTTTCCCAGCTTTCAACATGGAAATTTTGGTTGTATACAATATGAGTAGTGTTAATAACTGGTTGACATCTGTGCTTTGTTTTTGTGAATCATGTCACATGATATTAATTGGGATGGTTAATCACGTTCTGCTGAGAAATGCTGCTGCTGCTGAAATTGCCCATATTTCTATATGTGGTTTTATTAAAAAATTACAACTAATCATTTATGTTAAAACATCATTTCCACATTAATATTGTAAAAAGTTAAAGAATCAAAGCAGTGGGGGTTTTGGTTTGGTTTTTATCCCCACCACTACTGACTGAGGTTGGGAAAACTACGAAGAAAGTTGGTATTGTCTGCAGTTCTAGTTGATCCTTACACAGTGGTATAAAAATCATAAATTCAGTATTAAGTTTCTCCATGGATTCTTTGTAATAATTGTAAACTGAGGTATTGGTGAATCCATATTATGACTCCATTAGTGAGCTGTGGTATGGTTAGGGTTTTCCTACTACTTCGATACTTTTACCTGTAGAATATTTTTACTAAGGTGCTTTATAATGTGTTTTAAAGCATTGCATTTACAAGAGGAGTAAAATGCTGTAAATACTGCTTATTTTATGTATTTGGACCAAAAGGTTTTAAGTAACTAGTTTAAAGTGGGGTTTTTGCACCAGTTCTGTTATGTGTGAAGTGAAAAACATAACATCTGCTTCCTGGTTGAGTTAACTGTTGGACATTGCTGAAATGCACTTCAGTGACCTCTCTGACTTCAATACCAGAATGTTGTCCAAGGATTCTCTTTACAGAAATGTAGTCTTCATCCTTTTATTACGGTAAGAGGACAAGAAGAAAAATGTCATGTGTAGTCTGGTTGAGAAAGTTGCAGTGAACTTGACTGACATAGCTGTATTTATGTGACTGCCTTATGTGACTATTGTAAATTTGTGAGTTGCCATTATTAACAATGTGAAACACCTGGTAGATGAAGTAAATTGAAATTTGAGAACAGATGTTTGGGGCCACTGCGTTAGACCAAATGGCAGTGGAGAACTACAAGAATTAGTTTCCTATTGAATTTTCTTAAAGATCTGAGTATTTACACATCTTACACCTGCCTTTTCTTAAAGTGCTTTTCAGAGGGTTTGATGGGTGAAGGCACTGAGGAGACAAAGTAAGGAATGCTAGTAAAGGTTTAAATTCCTAAGGGATGATGCTGAAGGCTTAGTTTAAAATTACCAAGTGGAGTTTCTTTAACCAGCTTGTTCTGGTAATGAAAACAAAGGAAATGGAAAATGGTCTGTGAACTGGATGTCTGCAGCCAAAAGCAACAGCCTAGTTAGAGAGGATAAGGAGAAACTATCAAGTACATCTTGCATTTTCTTTGTTTTCTTGGATTTTTCCCTGTGAATTTTAAAAATAGATCTCTCTTTGTTCTTCCCAAATAATCAGGGAAGTCCCTTCTGATAGCTTACCATTTATATAGCATGAACCATGCATAAGATTTCCTGTTCTAGTTCTTGTCTATTGACGTCATTAATAATGCCAACATGTTTGGGAACAGGATGTGTTAGTTCACACATGAAGACGTGTTTCCTACCTAAAGAAATGAACTGAGGAGTCATACACAAGAAGTAGCTAATGAAGATCTAAAAATTTCCGTAACACAGCAGTAACTTTTTTGAAATAAAATGAATATTTATAACCCCAGGAAAGATTATCCGCTCAGTGATAGTTTTATGTTAGATATTATTTTGACTATGTTGCTTTCCTTCAGAATAATTTGGATCATTTTACCTTCTTGAGTTTTCTGCAGAATTTTCAGAAGAGCACCTCTACAAGAACAGAAGAGTTTACTAAGTGAAAACATAAAATATTCATCGAAGTAACGAAATAGGTATGCAGACAAAGAAAGAAATAGGCAAAACTTCTACCGATTTCAGTAAGGCCTACAGAAACCTATTCTATTCTGTAAACAATTTTAAATGTTGTGTTTCCTTTATTTCCTTCCAGGATTTAGAATTTCTTAATTATGAGTCTTCAATAACAAAAGTAATAGAACAATGCAATTATTTTTTTTTTAGTTTTAAAAGAGCAATGTATTTTTCATAGTTCGTATAAGAAAACACATTTAATCAGATACCACTTCATGTTCTTTGTTGTGAACTGACAGGGTTGAGACAAAGAAGAATTTTAGGAATATTTTTTAAAAATACTAGCTACGATTGGAGAGGTATTCTTTCCAGACAAACTCTAAAAATCTTATTGTCTGTGGAACACAGAAGGAATCAAGACTGTCTACTTTTATATCTAGTGCAACTGTTAAGTCAACTATGAACTTTTTAGAATCCTTTGAATTCAGAATTATCAAACTTGGATTTCCTAAAAGACAGTTTAGGAAAAGGAGCTTTACAGATTTTTTAATAGCCTGCTCTTTTCATCTTCTATTCAGAAATGGAAACAATCCAAATTGTTGGTATTAGAAATATTTTACAGTATGTAAACAGAATGTATCTTGTGTCTTTTCCCTTTTTGACTTATAGTGAAAAGCAGCAATATATGTATTTTTGTTGTTGCAAGTTGTATGATCGGTAAACTTACTATGCAGCCTCCTGAACACAGATCGTTTAACTGAAGTCACTGTAGTCTCTGCACAGGAGTGAGATTGGCTTTTTGCAGGGCTAAGTTTGTTTGAAAGGTGCTGAAATGCTCACACACACACATATATATATAGGTGAGAGTAGGTTTTGTTACACTGTTCTGTACTTTTTGTACAAAATTAACACCGAGATTTTGTGCAAAACTGTAGCCCTGTTGAACCTCTTGATGTCAGCGTAACGGCACTAGGTCCAGCTGCGCTGGTAACTACATAGCCATAACCACAGCATGCCTGGAGCGCTTGTGATACACTGGGCAGTGTCGACAGGAGAGCAACAGTGGTTTTAGCTCCTTCCCCTAATAATTCTGCAGCCATGCAACAAGAATTTCACTCTTAATTTTGTTAGTGCATCTACAAGCAGACACAAGGCTAGGGTGCAGAATGTGCTACGTGCACGTTTCCACTTGCTCTGGGTTGATTTTCAAGCAGTCTCTCTGTTAATGGTACACTGATCGTGGCTTCGTTTCCAAACAGGCATGAAAATTTGTAGCTATACAATACAGGAGAGGAAGAAGCAGCCTGTCCTGGTTGTTTGAAATGCCTTTTCCGGGTACATAGTTTTTCTGAAGACACTTAGCTATTTTTGCTTTCCAGGAATAAACATTTGCTTATTTATGGTCTCAGAGCAATTCTGTTTTCTGTCAGGGAAAATTCAGTGATTGTCTGTTATAATTCTGTTAAAATTTTGCATTAAGCTTACCTGGCGTTGCTAAATGTGCATATGACAAAAAGGTATATGGATGACGCTGTCTGAACTGTGCTGCTTAAGCAGTCAGTGGAAAAGCCTGATTCAAGTGCACTGCCAATTTTGCTCTTCAAAATTAGAGCATATTTTATGACTACTAGAGATTTAACTTAAGGAAACTGTAAGGCTGCTTAGTTGCGTGGATGCTTCCTTTACTGCGTAAGCCTATGCAACTACGTAACCTTTGCAGCAGTATTTATAGGAAGAGCCCTCTTCCTGAGACTTTTCTGGAGTGTAATTATAAATGTTCATACACTTGTACTGTCTGATGTTTACATCAGCAGCTTTCTGTAGCTTCTGTAAAGAGAGACAGGTTTGTGAGCATTTCTAAAGCAGTACTGAATGTAATTTTGAAAAACATGGATTGTGCTTCATGACTTTTTCTTTTTAAACACACACACACAGCTAAATAGTGCCTTTTTTCCTCACAATCCATGTTGAAGATGCTCGCTCCCACTCACCCTCCGTAAATTGATTCGTTTGTGCAATACTATTCCAACTTGAAACCATTTTGTCACAGCTGTTTGGGAAATAATCTCCATTTTTCCTTACTATGCTGCCAGCTTTCTGTTGTTGAAGTGTTTCAGTTGATTACTTAATGCAAATGCTATAAAATAAAACACCCAGTGGGAAGGGAAAAGAAAAGAAGTCTGGTGTCCTGTCTTACTATTTGCGTGTCACACTCACATTAAATGCTCTTTTTCTAGAAGATGTTGTTATGCAATATTGTGAACTTCATTTGCAGCTATTGTGATTTTGGAGGGGAGGGGTGAGCTGGAGTGTAGCTTATCTGTAATAATTTCATATAGCTATAACCTAATGCATTTTAGGCCTTTAGAATTTGCATTAGGCTTTCTGGCCAGAAATGTAATGAACTTGCAGAGGGTATACGCTGTGCTGGAAGTGTCAATGAAAAGTTCTTAATATTAAACCCAAAATTTGTAAGAACAGAAAACTGGCATTAGAACACTGCACTGGTCCATACGTGCTTCCCTGCGTGAGGGAACCAATGACCTGACCAATTGCTGTGGTACCGGAAGACGCTCAGTTACTGCAGTGATGAGTGTGGTATAAGAACTGGAGTAGAACGGAAATGTCATTTGCATCTGTGAGCAAGCACTTAAACAAGAAAATATAGGGAGATGGGTACACTACTCTGTTTAGGATTTCTGAGGCGTACTGTAACCGTTGCCCTATAAACATTCCTTGCTGTGTGCACTATAGAGCTGAACAGTCATCTGGCCCAGCCAAGTTTCTTAATGCAAGAGTTCCTAAATATTTAGTTGTCAGCCTCCATGATTAAGAACCATCGTGCAGTTACTCAGCAACTTCCACGTGAGGATTTTGATGGCTTTTAAATCCCCCTTATGTTGCAAGTAGCCATTTCCTTACTTCCCTCAGTGGAAGTGATGGGTGTAATTGTGCACAGGAAACAAAGTCTCTGCTTCTATCAGCCAGGGGGAAGTGGAGGAAAAAATTGCCTATATAAAGGTACAGGACTTCCTAAGGTCACTGCGCCTTTTTCTGAAATGATACAGTAAACAAAATGACAGCCAAAACCAGTTACAATACAAAAAATGCTTTCTTTAAAATGACAGTAGCTTCTCCTGTGAAAGGCAGAATGGCTCTAGTCTTACAGATAGAGGGGTTTTTTTTTAATACTGGTTGAACCTTTTTTTTTAATTGATGCTGCTGTTTGCACAGGTAATTAATCTCATCAGTTGGAATTCATTAATCTCATTCAGTTGGAGGGTAGTGAAAGAAGGGAAAGGGGTGTTTTGCTCAAAGCTAGATTTTTTTTCAGGTTCTGTATTTTCA